AATCAACATCATTCCAAAAATCACATATTGTTTATCATGGTGTACTAAACCAGAAAAACAGAATGTTCACAATGAAAATAATTGAAATAAAAAATATTTTTGGTTTAATCCAGTTCACCAAAAGGCCTAAATATTATATCCTGATCCTACAGTGTTCCATTCAATCATTCTTTACTATGGAAAATCTCTAAAGGTAAAGTTTGGAAAGAAGGGAAGAAAAATATTAAAAAAAAATTTGGGAACTTCAAAAAATAACTTTCTAAGTACTACCTGCATTCATTCAAGATGTAGTACAAAAGGCTGACAAACCTATCGTGATAGTAGGAGGAGAGGCAGACAGGTTTGATGTGTGTGTTGGAAAGGGTGGACCTCTAGATCTCATTGTCCAAATTAATCATTCACCTTCAGTATACTATCAGAGTCCATAGGAACAACTTTAGGGTATTTTTCTCTTTTCTTTTAGTTTTTGATTTTCTTTCTTGAGCAGTTATAGTTGTAAAGATTGACATTTTTTTACCTTTAATGTTACCCTGAGATCTTCAAAGAGCAAAGGGAAATTTATTACTTTTAAATAGAATAAAACTCATTTTATCTTATGATTACTATGAGTCTACAGAATCCTTTTATAAATCTAAGATACATTATGGGATCTTAGTGATTTCAGTTTTCCTACACCTTGAAATATTTCGTTAATTCCATCATCTTAGGTTTCACCATTGCACATCAATTATTAACAACTATGCTTTTAAATAATACATTATACTTAATTTTATTATCTTTTTTTTCAGCTTATTGTTTTGCTTATTGTATCACCTTTCAAAAAAATGAAAGGCATAGAAGACTGAAGACATCATCTTTGTGGTCTGTGTTGGGAGGAAAAACTTTACTTCTACCCTTTTAGGTTGCAGTAGCTGGGGACCTTCAACTTGAACTAACAAAAGACAGAAAAAGCACACAATTTTTATTAATGTTTACATACCTCAGAGTTCACTCAAGAGGGGTAAAACTCTAAGAAGCAGTTAGGCTCAGGGGCTTATATACCATTTTAAAGGAAAGAGGATTTGAGCTTTGAGAGACAAATCATAGGGAAGTTCTAACTAGGAAATATATAAAAAATAATGAACTATAATGAAAGATAAGGGTTATTTTAGTTAGGTCTGTTTATGCAAACTCATCTCAGTATCAACTCTGCATCTCAGATGGTAAGAGTTTCTCTTTCCTTCCTGGTATGGGGAAAAGGGTATGACACAAAAGGAAATTTATGCTCTACTTTAGGCAGACAATGGGAAGGCAAAAAACTATCTGTTGATTCTCAATTGCCTTCTGTTCAAACTAATCTTTATGTCAAAGTGGCACATAATTGGATGGCATATCCTGATCCTCTTCATATGCTTTTAGTTTTCAATGAATGCAGTTAAAAACTCAGACCTTTTTATTTCCTACCCATAATAGGACAAAAGAAAATTGACAAAGGAGACATTTCACAATTATCAGATGAACCTGAAGACCAAGGCAAAGATGGATAGCAAGCACTTCAGACTCTAATGACAAGAGAAATTTGGGAAATGTCACTGTCTTCAGATAAGATATCCAAAACAAATTTTCTCCAACTCAACAATCAATGAGTGAACAATATGCTTCTAAAAACTAAAAGTAACTTCTCATCAACTGTCACATGTGAACCTAGAACATATTTATCTTGTAAATACTGATTTGAGATATCAAATACTTCCCTAATAAGTTCTAGCTTATCATTTCTTTTGGGTCATTTTGCATGTACATCATCAATGCAATATTTGAATGTTTTGAAACCTTTGATGGTTCATAATTTTATTGAAGAGAGGGTAGGCACCTTCTTTGCTTCATAACTGTAAGATATTTTCAGTTTTAGATTTGTAGACACCAATTAGAATAATCAATCCAATGAATAAAAAAATTTGTGTCATGTTTCCTTCTAGTCACCATTGTATACATCTGTGTTCAACACTTGTTCACTTCTGGACTGTATCAAGTTGAATTTTAGAACACACACATGAAGGATGAATAGTCATATGCCCTTTTAGCAAAAGAGCACGGTCTGCAATCTTATAAAAATATTGCATAATGTATAATGTGAAATACACTGTATGACTTAAGTAATCCCGCCAAAATATTAAGCCTGATCTATTCAAAAAACACAGGCAATTGAGGGTACAATGTAAACCCAAAGAGAAGGAAACTGTCAATAAAATACAGAATGTGGGTTATGCGACTAGATCACTGGCCTAGTCTCTTCAAAAGGTCGATGCCATCATACACACACACACACACACACACACACACACACAAAGACGGAACAACACTAAATTAAATGAAATTAACAAATAAATGTAATGAATGATTGGATATTGATAAACGATTAAAAAGGCTATTTGGGGAACTACAGGGAAGATGTGAATACTACAAACATATTGTAGATTGTAGGAATTAACTTTAAGTGATTGTGGTATTGTGGTTATATAGAAAATTGTCCTAACCTTATGATATACATACTGACACACATACCGTACACTTCAGTGTGAATTGTCATATCTGCAATGGACTTGAGAATGTTCACCAAAGAGAATGTGAAATGGGCCCAGTGGGTGCAGTGGTGGTTGAGCTTCCACCAAGGAGCCATTAAATTCCTGGTCAGGGCACATGCCCAGGTTGTGGGCTCGATCCCCAGTAGGGGGCGTGCAGGAGACAGCTGATCAGTGATGTTCCTCTCTTATCCATGTTTCTATCTATCCCTCTCCCTTCCTCTTGCTCTCTCTCTCTCTTTCTCTAATAATCTCTAAATATATGTTCATTTTTTAAAAAGACTGAATGGGTAGATAAAGCAAATGTGGCAACATGGTAATAACTATTAAAACTTTGGGGTAGGTATGTGTTCAAATGTGCTATCTTCAACTTTTCAAAGTTTGGGGAAAAATACGGTAACACAAAAAATAAAAAAAAAATGGTTGCAAGGTTCAGAAATGAATTCTTAAACTGTAAAACAAGAGGCAAGTGAGTAGTATCTAAATTTTGTAGGTGAGCCTCCTTGCCTCTTCTCCTCACTACTCACACTCTCTTAAAAAATGAAACATAATATGGTGAATTGAACACTGAATGAGGACTCAGAAGACCTAAGGTTCTGGAATTGGCTCTACTACTTCCCAGCCATGAGCTCATTAAAGAACTCTCCCCCCTGGCAGGTGTGGCTCAGTGCATAGCATCCGCCTGCGGACTGAACCCGGGTTTGATTCCCGTCAAGGGAACATACAGGAGACAGCCAATCAATGATTCTCTCTCATCATTGATGTTTCTATCTCTCTCTCTTCCTCTTCCTTCCTCTCTGAAATCAATAAAAATATATTAAATTTAAAAACAAAACTCTCCCGGAGGCTCTTTCCTCACCTTGGTTTCGGGATCGGTCTCAATGACAATTACAAATGTTAGATACTTTGTAAGGGTATTTGCACCGATGTTTTAAAACATCCAAAGCGCTTAATTTTCTAAGCGAACCTGGGCCTTCGCAGGCTCAAGAGTTGGCAAAGGAACCCCCCAATGCAGGACACCTGACCACTGCCCAGGGGCGGCTTTTGTACTTTAAAACTCTTTCAATTTTCTGTGTCGTGGCACTAAAAGACGTCTAATTCTTAAGACACAAACCAAACCTGAAAGCCATATGTAAATTACAAATAGATTATAAATTAGAATAATTTTTAAAAAAAACCTAAATCTTCGCAACACAAAGAGAACCCCGCGAAGGAAGCTGCCTGCAGACGCGGGTTCCCTTGGACGCGTCTCCTCTAGCAGATTCCTCGTATTAAACGCGTTTTAACTCGGGACAACTCGGGGGGCGCCCCTCGCGTCGCTAGAGCCGGAGAAACCCTCCGAGTGGGATCCTTCCTTCCGTCTCACGAGGTGAAGCCTGAAGCTATTTCGGAAACTGTGTCTCCAAGTCCGCGCTGTCCCTCCGGGCCTTTTCTGGAGACAATGAGACGGGGCGGCCGCGGCGGGGCAGGGAAGTCCCTGGGGCCAGGGCAGGGCGTGCGCGGGCCGAGCCGGCCACCTGGGTGGGGACCCCGGGCCCGGCTCTCCGACGCCCGCGAGTTCGGAACCGCCCGTCGTCCCTGCCGACGACGGGGAGGCTCCGGGGAAGGCTGCTGTGAGAGGAGCCGGGTCTCCGCCACACATGGGCACAAAATGCGCGGAGACGACGGGAGTTGGCTCGAGAGAGAAAAGCCACCACCAGGCTGGGGGCGCCTGGCGGACGACTCCGTGAGGAAAGGTGAATGGGTTGCA